GTGACCAGGACGTGTCTGAGCTCAGCACCCATCATCGTCCCATTTCCTTCTTTATCAAAAACTCGGAGGCCTTCCACAAAATCCTCGTACGTCCCCTGTTAACAGACAGAAAGACAAACTGAGAAATGAATACTTCTGTCGATAAATTAATTCCCTGACTTACATGACATGAAAACCTATGTCATACTTTGTCTTTTGACTGAGCCACATGTTGCAGCATCGGCAGGAAAGTCTCAAAGTCCATCAGTTTACTGTCCATTTCTGTTCAACAAGACAACAGGACAGAAGTAACACTCATGTATGCACAAATGCTAAATTACATTTACTGAAGTCATTCATATGAATGTTCATCTGCTTCACAAGTTGCATCTATTTGCAAACCTACACAAATCTAATATACACACACACACACACACACACACACACCCTCAGGTTTGGGTCGTCCCAGCACTCGAAGGACTTCTGCATTGGTTGGATTTTGTCCAAGAGCTCTCATCACGTCTCCACATTGAGAAAACGATATCTTCATCTGATTATCTTCAGTTCGGTCAAACAGCTGAAATGCTTCTTTAAACTCTACAAATATGACAGAGTTCATATTACAGTCAGTAAAAACATAAAGCTGTCAACAGCTGCTACTCCTGGGCCCAGTATTTCAAAGTGATCTGATAGGATTATCCTGGCCGGATTGGATTAAATCCTGATCTGATCTGAAAACTGGGTATTTCAACACAGATCAAGAGGATCCTGATCCTGAGGATCAGGATTCAGTTTTGGCAATCCAATCCTCCCTTTAATACAGATAAGGGCTGCATTTGGGTATTTCAAAAGTTAAGGCAGATATCTGGATCAATATGATACCAAATTTCAGGATTATTTGGATCCCACCTCAGAGGTGGATTTGACAAATCCTCAGCTCCACTTCTACTAGATGTTGTCAATCAAGATGTTCATTACACTTAATCTAAATTAGTGTTTCGGGTAATTTCAAGCATAGACAAATATTGTTTGGCCATACTTCCTGAAACTGCTGTAAATAAGAGTAACAAATACAGACCTATATCTCAACGTCTAGTTTCACCTAACATTGTAACTTGTTTGTATGAAAACATCCAATATAGGTTAGTGGTCAGACAAAGGCAAGGTAATGCAATGCAAAGCAAATTTATTTGTAAAGCACATTGTTTTCTTTACAGAGTGTGTGTGTGTGTGTGTGTGTGTGTGTGTGTGTGTGTGTGTGTGTGTTTTACCTTCAATCTGATTGGAGCTGAACTCAATCTGAAAAAGGTGATCAGGGTCAGTCACAGAAACTGCTGATGTGAAATCAGTGATGAATGAGTGCATTTTTTAATACATGAATTATTCACCAAGCTCATTTCTTTTTATAGCCTGAACCAGATATATTTGAATGTACAGTTTTTATAAGGTGTATTTCTACTTAACGTTTGTGTTTATATTTTTTTTTCCATTTGCAGATTTCTGAATATGAAACATAGAGACATATTTATGTGATGCTACATTCAGAGTTAGGAAGAATTTAAACCCCACTAACAGTAAACTCCAGTGGCCCTATAATATCCATGAATTCATGTTCACAACCCAAAACATTTATTCATTAATTCTGCTTCATGAGAAGCTCCCTGTGATTCTAACCCTCAGTGTTCAAAGTCATTAATGTAGTCATTGTGAGACATAAAGTTCAACCATGACATGAGTTTGTTGTCTGAACTTTCATTGAGTTTAAGATCTGAAGGTCAACGTGTAAAAAAAAGAATCTTTAAAACAGCTCTGACACATTAACAAACAGACAGACAGAGACAGACAGACAGACAGACAGACAGACAAACAAACAGAGACACAGACAGACAGACAGACAGACAGACAGACAGACAGACTGACCTTGATGCTGTGTGGATCAAAGTCCAGTTCTTTAGCTGTTTCTGGTTCTGGCAACATTTTCACTGCATCTTTCTTTGGTTCTGGTTTCTTGGGGGACATGGTGGGCAGATGGACAATGAGATAGGATACGATAAAAAGAAAGTACAAAAGAGATAACAGAGGGTGAATGAAGGAAGACAGAGATGAAGAGAAGAGAAAGCAGAGGAGAGTCTTCCGTTAGGTGGTTTAAATACCCGTTAGGTGGTTTAAATACTCGTCATGGTAACAGAACATCATGTCCATTTACGGTCAGAGAATTAAGTGATGAAAGAGTCCTCTCAGGATCTCTGCTGCAGAGAGACAAACTTCAAATAGATCTGAAATAAATTCCACAACCCTCGACTGAACTGACCCAGAACACATCTAGTGAGACCACCACCTGAAATAGAAAGCATATTGACTGTTCTCTACTGAGACCACCTTAAATAGAAAACTTTAATGTCACTGTTATAGCTACATGTGTTCATGATCTGAGAGGAGGGGAGGTGAGGAGAGGAGAGAGGAGAGGAGGAAGCATAAGTTAGCCTGATAAAATGGACTTCCTGTAATGGTGTTAGGTTAGGGGACTGAACAGGAACCACTAATGTGGTCCCCGGGGTGCACTGTCCACCCTGTGGATGGCCACTCCCCCATCCCCATCTTCTCTTACTTAGGTTTTTATGAGCGGTGTATATATTCAATAACGTATTTATTTTATAATTTAATATTATTTTTTCTTAAAGTAAAATTTATATCAAGTATAATTTTCGCTTCTTTTTGCTGTTTTTTTTTTTTTTTTTTATTTTTCCATTTTTTTGGCTTTTTTGTTTTTTGTTGTTTGGCTTAATGTATTGTTCTTTTTATGTATGTGTTGTTTTAACCTATGTGTTTTTTTTCTCTTTTTCAGGTGGCTCTCGCGTGACGTTTCATCTGGATTGGGATTTCTTCAGGCTTCGCCGACCTTCAGGTAAGTATGAATGGGGAGATGTTACTCCCTCCAAGGTTCGTGCCAAACTGAATGAACTCTGTGCTTTGTCTCCCTTTTATACTCTTCCCTAGTTGTGTTAATTTTAACTTTATGAATTGTGTTTTTTTAATTGAATAAACTAACTTGTTTTTATCTGGCTTTTAACTTATTTGTCTTTTAGCTGATATGTATTTTAACTTGTTTGTTCTGTAATTTATTTGTATATGTATTTTTTTTAACTTGTTTTTAACCCTGTCAATAAACTATATTCCCCTATGAATTTGTATTTGTGTGTTTACTAATTAATGAATTTATTTAACCTTACTACCCTTCTTCCCTTTCCTTCTTCCTTTCCTTCCCTATACTCATCCTCCATCCTTTACCTCCAACCGGTGACTGTTGTTTTTAACCTTGTGTACCTCGTATATATATCTTTGCCTGAACTGGTGGACTAGGCCAGCGGCTATATACGGAATTAAATCAATGATAATGGCCTTCTTGGCTTATTATGGGGACCTCTAGGGTCAATTTACGGGTTAGGAATTGGGGATAGAAATCCCCTCTCCAGCAATGGAGAGAGGATGGTGCACTGTCCATCACTCCCAGAACGTTCTGACCATGCCGACCCCCTCCAACAACCACCACCCTAAGGTGGTGGGGGTTCAAAAAATTGTGGCTCACTGGCCATTAATAGTGGTCGGCCTGCGCAACGTTTCGGTTTCACTGGACCTTTCTCAGGCGCACCGACCATAAAATAATGAGCCTGTTTGGCTTTACATTTTCCCTTTTGCTTTGCTTTCCTTTCCCTTTCTCCCTTCCAACCTTCCA